GTTTCCAAGGTGGTGGGGGGCTCCGGCTTGGGGCCCCACCAGGGAGGGGGCATCTGGAAGGAGGCAGTGGGGTATTTGAGAGAGGGATGGAGGGGGCTCCGTGTGAGGCGGGAAGCGGCCCGGGGAGCGGGCCGGGAAGGGAGCACAGGGTTCGGCCCGGTACCAGAACCGGTGTGGGGTCTTGCAGGGCAACGGAAAACCTTAGGGCATGGGGCTGCGGGGAGTGGACAGCGGAATGCTGTCCAGGCAAAGGGGTGGGAGGGCTGGGGCGATGCAACAGAGGGGGAGAGCCCCAGAGCTGTCAGCGATTTCAGGCTGTGTGGCCCAGCGGTCCGGAGCTCTCCACGTAAGGTCCCCCTCCCCCCAGGACCGGCCGGGCCGGGCTGGGGTACTGCCTGCCGGCCCCCCTCCCCACCCTTGACCACTTCTTGGGCCACCGCTGGCAGATCGGCACTCAGAGTGACAGGGCTTTGGCACACCCTGAAGTCTGAGATGTAGTCCATCTGTGTGCATCCAAGTTTGGGATTTTAAAAAACTTTCTTGTGGTTAAAAAAAAAAAAGTCCAAACAAGAAACTGGCGTGTTATGAGAGCAGTGTTTGTGCTCGGGGCCTGGGAACTGGAGTTTCAGAGGGCCTGTCTTTGAAAAAGATGCTGGGATCTTCTTTATCTCTTCCCCAGTTACTTACAGTGTCGGGGGAAGTTTGCAGCATTGGGGTAGTAGCCGACTTTTCCTACCCATCCCCCCCAAATAAGGAGACAGCAGCACCTCACCTTCTTTTGGTTCCGAGGACCAAACTTGGCATATGAGTGCACCCTCTGATCTGTAGCTGTCCCCTTCGCTGGGGTGACTCAGTATTCCCTCCTCCAGGAAGCTTTCCTGGACTCTTCTGATCCCTGAATACCAGCCAGCCTCCCCTTCTTTCCTAAAAATAGCCTCAGAGAAATGGTTTGTGTATATGTTGTATAAAGATGTGCAGTTTGTGATTGTAAGTAATGGGAAGGGGAGGAGCGTTATTATGGGTCACTTCAAACAATGGATTGAACAAATCATTTCTATTTAGCTAAGGCGCGTGGCCAGGGAAGCAGACATTCATACGGCTTTCTATCCTGTGCCTGATGACTGATGCAGTGGGCAGTGGGTTGGAGGTGATGTAGGGAGAGGACTGGATGGATGAAAGTTGAAGGGCAGTCCAGTCCACACTCTCTTGCTGTGTGCAAGACCCTGAACAGGTAGAAGTGGACCGGAATGGAGCGGGATTAGTGTGTGTCTGCCTTGATCAGGTTCTAATCTCTAAATCTGTGAACAGATACTGAATATTAAAAATGAGAACGAGTGTTTATAAAGCGGTAGGTGCCCAAGGGCTCCCTCCGCACCTTAGCAGTGTATCATTTTATTTCAGTCATATAAATCGTGTATATATTATTTTAACTGCCTTTTTACAAGTTAGGAAGATGAGGCTAGGGAGAGAATAAATGACTTCTTGGAGGTCACAGGACTCATTAAGTGGGAGAAGTAGGCTTGACCCCAGCGCCTTCTGACCCCTCATGCTATGTACTTCCTCTTCTTTAACCTGATCTGATCATCGTAGCCCTAACACCATCTGCTTGTGCAGCGCTGGGCAAGTTACTACCCCTTTCCAACTCTGTTTTGGAGGGTTATTGGATTAAAATGTTTCTAGAGTCTCCTCTGACCTCAGATAATTAACAGCATAAGGTGACATTAATAGGTGTGCTTTCTTTTATTTTTAGTTGTGGTTTAGTTGTGGCAAAAGCCACGGAAGAGTTTACCACTGAAACCGTTTTTCACTGTGTAGTTCCGTTGCATTAAGTATGTTAACATTGCTGTGCCACACATCTCCAGAACTCTGTGCAGAGCTGAAACTCTACCCATGTAATTCCCCGTTTCTCCACCTCCCAGTCCCTGGCAACCTGTGTTCTACATATTGTGCTTTAGTAAGCTTCTACTATGTGTTTACAAATATAGTCTTGGAGGAATTAGTAAGGGGCAGCCCAGCTTACGTGGGACGCTGTAAGGCCTGGAGTGTCACTCTTCATCCTTGAGACTGTAACTCCAGGTCACTGCTGCCTGGTATTAAGTGTGAGTGGGCGAGACCTGGGGCAGGTGCCTTCACCTCCTTCACTTCCAGCTTGCAAAACAAGGAGTACAATACCAAGCTCTCAGGCTTATGGAAGGAGTGGTGAGATAATGTATGTGAAGCACATAGCTCAGGGCCTCAGACACAGCAGGTGTGCAGTAAATGGTGGCTGTTATTTATAACCTCACTGAGGAGACTAGACGAATTTGCTCAGAACACGAGAGGACGCGGCTTCTTTTCTTCTGTCACTGTGGCCCAGGCTTGCTGTGGTTGTCATCTGCACGAAGTAGGAGGGTATGGATCTCACCCAGGTGCCTTACCCGGCACTCACCATCCTTCCTCTCCGCTCAGCCTGCCTCTCTAACCTTGCCTTCGCTCTCCTGACCCATGCCCCGCCTTGCTTGTAGTCAAGCAAGCTTGCTTTGCTTGGTCTTTCTTTGTGCCTTAGATAATGCTGTTCTCCTTTCCTGGAGTGCTCATCACACTCTCTCTTCCCTCCTTTTCAAGACCCTGTTCATATCTGAGCTCCTTCCCTGGAGACATCCCTGGCCACCCATCCCAAAAGAACCTGTTCCTCCTTGGAACTGCTCATTTTCTGTCTCTGTCATTCCTGGCTTTTGTGCACGGCTTGGGAGATTATTAGTGACTGTACACATTCATACTGTGTCATAGTCCTAGAGCGTCTGCTTAGTTCTGATGGTACAGAAATGGAGAGGTAAGGTCTTTTTCTTCATGGGCTTTTTTTTTTAAGATTTATTTATTTATGCATACAGAGCTGGGGTACAGGCCAGAGGTGCAGGGGCGGTGAGAGGATTCACCAGACACAGAGTAGGGAGCAGAACGATGAAGTACACTGCTGAGGAGAGCAGCGGGCGGGTCAGGAGAGGTCTGCGGCGCCATGTGGAATCACCTCCCGGGCAGGCGGGGATCGAACTCTTGGGGAAGTGGCTTTAGCTTCTCAGTGTCGTGCTTGAACCCGCTGCGCCACCAGGGAGGGCCCTCTTCATGGGATTTCTAATGCAGCAGAGGGTTAAGGACGGGGTCCAAAGAATGACAATTCAAGGTGTATGTGTGTGACCCATGAGAGTAGAAAGTCACGTGGGCTCAAATGGGGATAAATCATCCTGATTTGTGAGGAGCACTTCATACATCAGGTGGTGTTTGACCAAACTTTGAAAGATGGCTTGCAATTCAACAGAAGGGAGGAAGGATCAGGCCTCAAGAAAGTGTTGGGATGTATGAATAGCTCAGATGGGCCATTGTGTGGATTGTAAGGAGGGAACTGGGAAAAGAAAAGACTGGGCAGGGAGATCATCGCTGTGCGTGAGTCCTTTCAAACGTGCAGCCAAGGAGCTTCGTGCTTCGCCTACTACCCATTCCGGAGAAGTTGAGAGTCCACATGGGCAGCGTCTGGGCTGATGCTGGGGACACGGCTGGGGAGGTGGCAGGCAAGCTTGGGAGCCTCTGGGGATGCTGCAGGTTGCTGAGTAGGGGTGCAGAAACAGGGTGGGCCTAAGAGGGTGAGTCTGAGATCTCTGAAGAGGGGGTGTCATAGTGGGTGGCTGTGAGGAATGGAGAGGAGGGGCTGAGACCTTTGGAAGTGGGGTTGAGGCCATTGCAAGTTGCTGGGATGGCAACATTGAGGTAAGGTTGAAGGGGTGAAGCTGATTCTGAGCTGGGTGACTGAAGGTGAGGTGCCATTTAATTGTTCCCAGTGGGTATGGGGGGATTCATTCTACCGGATGTATATGCCTCAGCACATGGGTTCCCACTGCCTGTCCCTTCCCTTCCGCTCATTGCAGAGAGGCACAGAGTCAGCATAGACTCGCGATCTTCTCAAGAAGTGAGTCTTGCACCTTCTAGAATCCCAACTTTGCATCCCAGCCTTGTTCGTGACTGGGTCTGGTCTTCTTGGGTGTCCAATTTCCTCAGAGAACCAAATGTTTCCTTCCTATCTTATCTTCACACCCCAAGTTACTTAGAGCTACAAGTTTCTCTCACACCCGACGGCTATTTTCCACTGAGTTTTTATTGCTCCACGAGAGGAACTTTGGATGTGTTTGAAATAAAAACAGTGAAGTGGCCTGTTCATTATCTCAGCCTCAAAGGGTATGTGAACTAAACTCAGTAAAGTTACTCAGTTTTACATATCTTGAAATTTCGGTTTGCTTTTGAGTGACCAAAATTACAAGAGTGACCAGTATTATAAGCGTTAGATGCTCAGACGCCAAGGGTCTACCCCACCCAGGGCAGCCATGTAGTGGCATCTGCACCGTGGCTTCTACTCTGTACCTGCCCACAGCAGCCATCACTGATAGATCGCTGCTGTCTTCTCGCTGAGCCAGGTCTGGGATTCTGCTCATGCAGCTGAGTGGAAACAGCACAGCAGTTGGAACCAGTCTACTGTCCTGGCCTTCTCCATCTGGTGAATGACTGGGTCCCTGCTGGGACACTCCTGCCTCAAAGTGTGGTCATTGCTGGACAGTAGTGACTCGAGGGTGGCCTCACAGCACAGGGATGATCTAATTTTATTTTCCTACAGGAGTACTCTGGGATCATCTCCTATCTGTCAGCAGTCAAGGTGTTTACAGGAAATTAAAGAAACAGGTCAGTGCCAGTCTGAGTCCTTTGTATGTGGGGGTGTCCGAAAGTCTGTTATAAACCATGTGAGGTCAAAGTCTCTTGCCACTTAACTGTGGGTTGGGAATGAATGGGATGAATGGGGTGCTGCTATTTTCAAGATCTTTCTCTGCCGTCACACTTCACTTTGAATTGACACATTTCTGAAATTGGCCATTTGGGGACCGGGAGAGAATTACTTACTCCCCCTCTTTCTGACTGGTGGTGGGCAATATTCTTAATTGCTTTCTTGGTTACCCGGTTAAGTGGAGGAAACCTAGGGAAGCAGGAGGGGCCTGTAATTTCCTGCTTCCTGTCTCCTCCCTGCAGGCTTGGGAGCCGAGGCTAGCTAGCAGAGAACCCTGGGGGATCCTGCCCATCTTCTGACTGCTTTCCTCCAGGCTGGCCGGCTGAGTGGGCCCTCTCTGCGGGGGGCGCTCGTGCTCTGCTCTGACCTGCAGGCTGCTGGGTCTGGCTGGGAGCTTTCCTGTCTCCAGCACTTGCGCATCAGCATCAAGCCTCTGGGGCCGGAGCTGACAGAGCCCCCTGAGCCCCCTGCAAGGATGCTGCTGATTCAGTTTCCCAGGGGTGCTGCTTCCAGACCTGGGCCTTTTATATTTTAATTTATGTGTGTTTTATCCAGTGGCTTCTCCCTGCTGGGTGGATTATAAATCTTTTGCTTTCTAATAATTCAGCTGCGCGGCGCGGGGTAGGATGGGAGGGATAGTGCTTATCTTGCCAAAAGATCCCCGCTCTCTGTGAGCTGCAGCCGAGATTTGATCTAGGAGTGGCCACTGCTCTTATCGGCCTGCTATGCTTTGTGCATTATACTTTGGCTGCCAGTATTCCTATTTGTCATCCTTATCACTGGCCAGAGTTAGAACTCCTTACCTCTGTCCACAAGTAGTTTGCTTTAAGTCATGTTGAATCCTGGCTTAAATCTTACTTAGTTTCACATGCAAGGTGGCTCTGTCTTTCCCCAGGTCACCAGGGCAGCAACTGCCGTGGACTGTGGCCCTGTCTTAGCCCTAGGCGGGCAGGGGTTCCAGCCCAAGCAGTCTGTTCCTGCTCACTGTGGACTGAGGCCATGCGTCTGGGTCCTGGGATCCTCTCCAGGTCGCTCCTTGGGCTTGCTGTAGCAGGAATGTGGGAGCTCCCGGTTTCAGTCTCCTCCCTCCTCCCCGGGCCTGGGTGTCTGCTTTCATCTGGCTGCTCTGGGATTTGGGGCACGGCAGTGGTCAGGCCGTGCAGTGCAGCCAGGCACCTGGGCCTCTGGCCGGGAGAGACCAGTCTGGCAAACATCAGGCGGAGGAGAGAGGGAAGGACTTGAGAACAAGGGGTGAGAGTCCTTGCAGCTCAGAGCAGGTCCAATCCCGAGACTTTAAGGGGTTTGTGCAGGTGGGCCTGCAAGGTAGGGCTTGGCGGGAGAGTCCAGGAGGCCTGTGCGCCCTTGGGGAGACACAGCACCCCGGCACCACCCGCCAGCCATTTCTAGCCAGAGAATGGCCCTCCGCCTGTGCATCCGTGTTGAGGCCAGAGCGGGTGAGACCCGTGTGAAGATCTTTCCAGACAGGAAGTTTATCGACTCCTCTGGCTTGATCTGAAATTGCTTCTGCCATTTCTTGTCATGGTGTTGAGCTTCTGGAATGAAGACCAGTTCCCCGGTAGAAGGTTTTCATTCTGCTCCTGCTTCACTGGCAGTATGACCTCTGGCAAGTGATTTGCTTTCTTCAGATTGGCCTCCTCACTGAGAAGTGAGGCCGGGGATCAATGACCACCGGTCCTTGCAGCTCAGGGGGAGGGGTCTCTAAGGAGGGGCGACGGGGCACACCTGAGTTTTGGCTTCTAAGTCTAGGGCTCCCCCAAAATTTACCCTCTAACAAGTGTCTTCTCAGCTTCTGGCTTAGAGGGGGATGGAGGTGGCCAGAATCCAGTTAATGAGTAAACCGGAACCCTTGATTTCTGATAGAAGCTGGGCTGGAGTGGAGGTTGTTTGCAGAGATGGCTGTCAGGAGGGTGCAGGGTCTCACGGCCTGACTGCACTGACCTGCGGATGCCTGTTCATCTTAACTGCCTCCTGCCCTGCCTGCCGTGTGCAGGAGGTGAGGGCTCCTTACGCAGGGCGCCAGGTGACAAGTTAATCATCTCAGTTTCCATGATAGTCCCGGCCTAATGAGACGAGGCTGTCTGTGAGGGTAAAGTCCAGCTCCCAAGCCCTTCCCTCCTCTGGAACCGAAAACACAAGCAGAAGCCCAGCCTGAACCGGGCTGCGGCTCCTGGCGACGGGGCGGAGCCGGAGGGGCCGGCCGGGTGTCACGGTGTGCGCTTCAGTCCATGCGCAGGAGCCAAGCGCAGATTATTTTTTGACTATCCATTGTTCAGTATTATCTGTGCTTTGGAGTTACCACACCCCTTCCGCCCTCTGCCTTCCTTCCCACTCCCCTCCAGTGACTGGAAATTAATTGTATTTTGAATACTCGGGTTTTTTTCTGAAAGTCTTGTGACTGTTTCTGCGCTCAACTGTCAGCTTTTGTTAACGTGGCTGATCTTGTGATGGAACAGGGAAGGACTGGTGGGGAGCTGCAGGGGGGGTGTCTGGGAGTCAGCAGCTCTGTAGATCCCCTGCTGCTTGGGGAGGCTGGCTGTCAGTGGAGGAAAGCTGAGGGTCCCGCACCCTCTGGGGCAGGATCTTGGCAAGTTCCTGGCCTTGGCCTCCGCACAGTAGTGGAGGGTCACTGCTAACCTTTTGTGCACACTTGAAAATGGCCTTTTTTCAATTTGAAATGAAAAAATTAAAATGACTGTATTATTCAAAGCCGAACAGCACCCATCTGCGCCTGGATGGGCGGTGGCCTGGCCGTGGGTGAGACTGCGCGCTCAGGCCTCCCACCCCACCCCTGGATCACGTGCTGCTGGCATCACACACCTCACACCACTGTGCTCCTTTCCTCCCACTGGGGGAAGAGGCTCAGAGTGAGGGGTGGGCTCAGCGTGAGTGGGTGAGGAGGGAGGTGGCTCCGGGGACGCTCAGCGCAGGTTGGCATGCCATGCGGTGCGGGCCACACGCGTGCCTGTGTCAGTGGGTTTGTGCTGCCTGCCGGGTTTGCATGCAGGTGTGCTCTGTGGGCTTGCGTGGGAGGCATCAGGCATCCTCTGCCTGGCTCTGGGACTCTGTCGAAGGGACCACCCGAGCCCTCTCTGTGGCCGGTACAGATCTGTTACCCAGTGCCCCCTCGTAGAGGCAGTGCCAGGCTCGCGCCCAGTGCCTGGCAGCCGCGCGTCAGCCCCGGGGTGGTGAGCCAGGTCCCCAGCAGGTCCCTAGGGACAGCCCTCTGGAAGGACACGGAAGTCAGTGACCAACTGTGTTCGAATGGAGGCGCATGCTTGGTGTGAATGAACACGTAGAATGACTTGTTCTGTTTTAGGGAAAGTGAGGTAGAGGTCTGGGCTTGTAATTTTCCACTTGTTTTAATCCTGGGAGAGTCTAAACAACTTTGTTTAAAAACTGGACCTGCAGATTGCAGAGACTGGAGTAAGGAAGAGCTCTTGGGTCCCCCAGGAAGGCAATTACGTTTGGATCTGTATGCAGCATGTGGGACTCCGTGGGGGGTGCTCTTAGAGCATCCCCGAGGCATGAGTCACTGTAAATTAGCAGCAGTTGCAAATTGACTCCCACCTGCCTCCCACTTGCTTGTGGGGGAGATGGGCAGGGTGGGGAGAGGCTCCACCAGGATTGCCCCCCCCCCCACTCTGCAGAGGGAGGTGGAAGTACCTGTCTGGGCATGCCCCCCACAACGCCTGCACAGTTCAGCTGAAACAGTGCTGAATGGTTGGCTTGTCTGCGAAGGTTTCCTTTGCGGGGTGTTCTGTACCCCCAGTGCAGAGAGAATAATCCTCACTTAATGTTATTGTCGTTAGGTTCTTGGAAACGTTGGCTTTAAGCAAACAATGTATAACGAAAGCAGGTCTCTGAGTAAAGTCAGACAGGACGCCATCCAGTCAGAGGCGGGATGAGCTTTTTTCTGAGGGACTGAGGGGCCATTAGCTTGGGCCTTGAGGGAAGGGGCCCTTTGAGAGGTTGGAGTAGGGCTAGATGGCATGCCAGGGGGCCTGTGGCCAGGGTCCTTGCAGGGAGGAGCTGACCTGGAGAAGGAGGAGCAAGCTGGCAACCTTGAATGTCACCAGAAGAGATTTGGATTTTAGGGGGTCAACAGTGGGGAGCCAGGGTTGGTCCCTCAACAGGGGGATCACAGGATGAACGGGATATATTAGGAAATATTTGCGTGTAGCAGAATTCAAGGTGAATTTCTTTTTAGTGCCTCTTTTGATTGTTACAAAAATAATACAAACTCACGCTAATGTTCAAACATTCCATAAATTGTAGACAAGAAAAATCTCCTGTAATCCTGCCCTTCAGAGATAATCATTGTTAATACTTTGGTTTATATTCTTTCCAGGTTATTTTTATAAGAGGCTAACATCCAGCTGTCCACCTATTATCTTATCAGTTTCCATAAATAGAGTTGTATGGACTGACTGTGAGGGAACCTCTTTGAGGTCTTGCCCCGCAGTGCTGATGCAACGGCCTCTTTCCTTCGAGTAGCGATATTGACTGGCTGGACGAGTTTTGTGTCCTTTTCTCTGGTCGCATAACAAATTACCCCAAAACGTATAAGACAAATGCATGTCACAGTCCTTTTATTTGCTCCCAATTCTGTGGCCTAGTCTTTCGGGCCGGCCTCAGCTGCTGGCCTCAGCTGGTCGCTGTCGTTGAGCGATTGGGACCGTGCTCCCGCCTTGCCTGGGCTTGCACGAGCCAGGGCAACCTCTCTCACTGTGTGCTGACTGGCGCGGCCCTGTCTTCCCGACGCTGCTCACTCTCAAGGAAACTAGCCTTCTGGGTGAAAACAGAATCTCTGAGACATCTTGAGCTGTAGGCTCTGCCGCGTGGTCAGAGCAAGTCAGCAAGTCACCGACTAGCAGGAACT